TTTTATGCCGTATTCGCATCATTACTATTCAATACGTTTTCCCATTGGTGCCCGCTCATCTCATGTTCAAAACGTTCAGAATGTTGTATTGAAAATTTACGTTTATATATATATTTTTTGTTCTGTTTTTTATATTTTTCAGATTTATTGAGGCAAAATATGGAGAAATGGTCAGAAATATCTGATATTAATATGCCTGTTTTTATGCACGTAGGATTTATATTACAGTAGATGTTATCAATGATTGTGGCTGAGCTATCACATACCCTTGTGGGTCTATTGATTAGTGGTTGGAACGAGTTGGAGAGAATGCTGTCCACATGACACTGAATATCACTACACTTTTCATAGTGTAGGAGATCTATATTAAAGTCACCTGTAAGGTATGCCTGTTTTTTTTCAATATTAATTAATTGCATCACTGACGACAGCTCCTCATTAAATTCCCTCATTCCTAATTCAGGTGGTCTGTAAATAACCCCACATATGACTGATTTATTATTTTTAATATTAATCTCAATAAAAAATGATTCAGCATTCGTAATTTTTGCCGATAGATCATCATGTGATTTGTAACATAGGTTTTCAGATATATAAAATGCAACTCCACCTCCTTTTTTCAATTGCCTATCTTTATGAATAAATGAATAATTGGGTAATTGATATAACCCTTCTAGATCATTATTTGAAAGCCATGTTTCTGTTAGAGCAATAACTGAAAAATTAAAATTTAGTGAGAATATAAAATTGGAAATAGCATCAAATTTGTTTACAATGCTGCGACAATTCAAATGAAAAATAGAAAAATTGTTTCCTGTACATAAAGTAGGCATATTAAAATTAGATATGAAGTCTTCTGTGCAGTAATATTTTGTAGATTCAGTACTGTAGTCATTAACATCATCAATATCATCATAAAATGACATCATGTATAATTGTTTAAGCAAAATAAAAAGAGAAATAAAAGGTCAACAAATCAATAAAAATTGTAATATCCTAATAATAGTGACAGTAATAATAATAATAATAATAATACTGTAATATTAATAATAATAATAATAATAATAATAATAATAATAATAATAATAATAATGATAACAATAAAGATAAACAAACAAGTATTATCATGGAGCAATCCATCTCAAAAGATACGGAAAAATACATAAATTCACCAACAATAAAATAATTGCAGATGGTACGGAAGTATCGTGATTAAAACGACTGAACAGAACATATTTCCGTACGTTCCGTTACATTAAATGTTACGTTAGTCAGTCATGTTACGTTATTGATCATGATACAGTTTGCCATTTATGTACAGGTTACCATTTTTAAATACCGCCTTCTTACCGTCCGAATACGCTTTCTGCATTACTCCTCTTAGCGATCGCTTTTTCTTGATATCAGCGGCGGGCAGATCTTGTATTACAAATACGGGCGAGTTTTTAAGTTGAGATTTCGCACGCTTAAGGACTTCATGTCTTTCTGGTCTGTATACAAATTTGGCTATGATATGTCTTGGCTTGTCATTTGGCGCTTTTGGTGGTTTTCCCGTGCGATGTGCTGTTTCAATATCTACATCCGGTAGACTAAGTTCATTAGATATAAAATCCCTGATTTTCTTAAGCACAATATCTTCTTTATTACCTTCAGGTATTCCACCTAAATGCAAGTTGAATCCTCGAGAGTAACGTTCGAGACTAAGAATATCTGCCTCTAGTTGACCCATTTTCGGCTTCATCGTATTTTCTAGCTCGTTGATGTTACTACTCACTAGTAAGAACTTTATTTTTCTTTAGCAGATCATCAATAGTATCTGATAAAAACATGACTGACCGTTCCATATCCATCTGTTTGGCTTCAATTTTATCCATTCTGGTAAGTAAACACCTCTGATTTTTTAGCACTTCGTCCAGCTTGCCTTTAGTCTCACTCGCCAATGCTTGTATTTCCCGCCGTAACAGGTCAGTGTCGGAGTTGGTTGGAACTGGTTTTGCTAGTGTCGTCACAGCTACGGATTCCGGTTCAGCTGCTTGAACACTTGGGTTCGGTTTTGTAGCTTTTTTACGTGGCATCTTCGAATTTACAAGTAAATTAGTTTTATTAGAGGTTTACTCCGTATATTTATCAAAATTGATGGATATGAAACGTATATTTTACTTTATCTCCGGAACATTTTACGGAGCAAATTTTGCCGTACCTATGTCATCGTAACGCCCTCTATAATAAGACCATTATATATCTTTACTATTTCTGTAACAAATTTGTCAGTTTCTAGTCAAATTTGGGAGAAAGAATGTACTGACCTTTTCGAAAATGTCTTCTAATAATGTCAAGATAGCAGTATCTACATTGATGTTTGTCTTTGCACTTGTCTCAAAAAACTTCATGCCATTTTCTTGTGCAAACTACAAGATAAAAAAAAAAGAGTTTACAAAATAATTACATGTCAGACTGGGCCTTAGGCCTTACTGTACCCTGTAGCCTGGTTCCCACAACAGCATTCTGATCATGTGGCTTTAAACCTTGATTATAGCAAATTCCATTAAAAAAAAAACTTGTGAACAATAGCTGATGCTAAACCCTAGAATTAGGAATGGTAATAGAGTGGGGAAAAACTGACTGACCTAGTGACTGGTTTAAAAATGTAGATCTGTTTAGGCAACCATTACACAATATATCATTTTTATTAGACATTTTTAGTGGTACAGTACCTACCGATTCCCCCTTCTCCTTGCACACCATCTGTTTGTCGTCCAGGTCACATTTGTTTGCAAGCAACACCTTTTGAACATCTTCACTTGTGTTCTGTAAACAAATAAGAAATGTTGGATTATTTTTAATACATATAAGAAATGACTGGCAAAAACAATACAATTTGTAGCTAGTGGCAAGAACAATATCATTGGTAGCAGCAACTAGTGGCAAGTTTGAAATTGCAAGCCTGACTTAGCAAACTTTAGATATCGTGGTGAAAAACAAACAACAGTGATAACAACGACAACAATTACATAAAGAAAATCAATAGCCTCCTTTGGGGAGGCTAATTAAATTACTTCCTGAACGTTGTGTACACAATTGCTACTATTAAGGTACTCAAATGACTTCTCGTCTGTCATGTCATACACCATTATGATCCCTGCTGTATCTCTGAAACAGGAAGTAATATTTATATGGAATCTCTCCTGACCTGCAGTATCCCATATTTGTAGTATTACCTCCTTTCCATTCAGCTCCACTGTTTTTGTTTTTAAATCCATACCTGATTAATAAATGACAAAATTAACAATTAACATTTATCAGACTCGAAAGTATTCATCACACAATGTCAAAATAACATTTGGATGACCTAATTAATATTTTTAGTCTGATGACCTTCATCAACTCGGCCCATAACCACCCATACACCAACTCGGCCCTTGTCAACTCAGCCCTTAACCGACTCGGCCCATAACCAACTCGGATATATATATAGTATTTTCATACTTTCCATATATAGATTATCAATATTTTAATTATAACTGTACATTTTAATGGCCATTTTATCAGGCTTCTTTTACATTCATAAGCCAGACAAAATCACTCACCAGGCTAATTCTAATTATTTTTTAAATTTATTTATTCATTCCAAACCAACAGCGAATAATTGTTACTAACAGGCAGGTATAAAAATATAGCAAAAATCTGTGGAAAATAATATTTGTGGAAAGAGAAGTCCACAAATACTGAGATTCTCACATAACGGCACTCTTGAGGTAAAGCAGACACAAGGTTTGTAATTTCTTGTTTGTTTTATTTCCATTTTTTATACAACATAGGCCTATTCTGATTTTTATAAAATACACAAATAAATGGAAATATTTAAAAGTAAGACTTATCATTGTCATTCAATACTTCGATAAATATATAGTTTTTAATAATATAATTTATAAATATTAATGGCTGCTTTGGATTTCTTTTTATAGGCCTATTTAATAAGCCGGAAAATGCACTACTCCCATGTTACAGTGTACTAGTCGCATGGAAATTTAAGTATAAAATCGGAAAGAAACTTTCCCACAAACAGGCTCTGGCATGGTATTCTTGAGGATGAAGCAGACAGAAAGAACATGTTTGTACGGAATTCCTTTGTACGGCACCTTCAGGAATGTGGGCGCGCACTCTGCCAAGACAGCAGAAGTAGGCAGATGCTAAAAATAGACACTATATTTTTTAGGTGCAAACGGGCGTGGATGGCAGTGTTAACTTTGAATCGTCTGCTGTCTGCTGATCATCTTTATAAAATACAAAAATAAATGGAAACAGTAAAATATAGGTTTTATAGGGGTTTTTTTAGGTTTTATCTGGTTTTGAACAACTACGGTAAATGAATTTGTTTCAACATAGTAAAATAAAGTTTTAATATTATATATGAATACATAGAAACTAACTATCTGATTGAACGGGGAAACCAAAATTAGAGAAGACAAAACAACAAAAATGTATTTGATTCAAGAGATGATAGGATCATCTTTGACGATCTCGAAGACATTATGTGGGTTTAATATTTTATATATTTAGTTCGGTTTAATTCTTGCGTTTCCATTCAGCGTTGGGCCCACAATTGTATAAATATGTTAACCATTGAAAACATTACTACTGTATGTGAATAAATATTACCATAAAATTTACAATAACAATGCCAATAATTAATACATGATAGAAGCGTCCTCGTCGCGGCCCTGGTTAACGCTAATTCTACCACCAACACACCTGTGGACAAATGACAAATGGGTAATTCCATGTCAAATCAACCAAAAAAAAACCTCAATCTCTCGGATTTTGTTCAAATTTTTGTATGTTGTTGAGGCCCATGAGAAACGATCAGAAATGAAAAATTTTTTCTCTAGGCCTCCTAATTAGCGAGATATCGGCTAACAAACTTTTGGCTAATTAGCGATACCTTGCGTGTTTAACCGACCATATCTCGAAAAGTATGGCACCTACAGAGCTGATTTTGGTGTCATTTTAAAGCTATTAAGTAGCTCTATAACTTTATTAATAAATGCTAAGTCCTCAATTCAAATATAAAAAAGTTATGACAGGTTGTAAAGTTCAAAGTTGAATAAAAAAAATATATATCAAATTCATGTTAGAGATACCTAATGATGTACAGAAGCTTCCCTATAAGTTTGGTGATGGGCGCTCCAAAAGTTCCTGAACAGTGAGCAATTATATATATATATGACATGTCCTTTCGAAATAGCACTGTTACATTCTGATATAATCACAAAACTTGTATGGTCAATTTCATCTTGCATGTTTCCCCGGTAGTAACATACAAAGGGATGAAGTGTTGCTTGCAGATTGTTCCAATGAAAAGACTGAGAAGCGTCCTGTACTACAAAGCTGTAATTTTCAGCAAAATCTGTAATGACCAAGACTATTCCTGGTTCAAGTGTACTCCTTAGATCTTGGAGGTAACCCGCTTGTTGCTTTGCAATGAAATCATGAGGTAATAATTTTTGAAGACCACTTACAAATGAGTCAAGAAAGTCTGAAACAGTTTGAACTTTGGACTCAAGATTTGAGCGGTCAGTTGAAGTCCACTGTTTATATTCGATCTGGTCAATCATGTTGTCAATCAAGTTTTTTACGAATATTACTAATGTCTGGACATGCATTACACTTGCTAAGAAAGCAATTGATGTGTGGAGGATTGCACATCATAGCTGCAAGACAGTGACGATAATGTTTAAATTCTCCACCAGTTACTTCATATAATTTTGCTCCTGTGAACATGAGTTTTACATTTTGATGGATTGTACATACACAAACTGAATGCGTACCACTTGCTCCTGCTAGTACACACTGCCTTGGGCGCAATTCCGTAAATTTAGAAAAACCAATTTTGCTGTCTACATGTAGATGCGTCTCCTTAAATTGTTCATAAGCCTCTCTAAGATTGCAAAGAACCAAATGCTTTTGTAGATGCTGTTTTTTCCCATCCACAAGCACAGACACAGTCTTTCATACCAGGCATTTGCCTGCTAATATGCTCCGACAAATAGAATTGTACGACGGCTTCCCCAGTTTCTTTAGAAATAGATTTACCTGACTTGGGGTTAGGCATTGCTAGAATTCCTTGTTCCCTTACCAA